TTTGAGCTGTTCAGTTCGGTAAAGGCCCATATAGGTCCTGTTTATTAGACTAATAACTCAACAGAATTATTGCACTGTAACTGTTTCTGTCACTTTCATGGTTTTTCAGTGACCTTGTAACCAGGATGTAACATATTGTATATCATAAATAGTCAATGGTGTTTCCTGTACTCACTGAGGGGAGTTCCAGTGCCACTAATTCAGTCATTGACCCATTTTCTTTAGTTATTTTTTTGTTTTTGGTCAAAATATATATTCCTTCAGATATATATTTCATGTTACTGTTGAATACACTTAAGGAAAAAGGTAGCACACACACAGATTTTCAGGACAAAGTCAACGAATTTCTGTTTCACCAATTTCTTCTGGCCATGTCGACATACTAACATTTTGACCTAGTGCCCTTCATTAGAGATTTATGTTCTTCCAAATCTCCAAATTTGAACCCAAAAAGACACACATTATCAAATATTGTTTTCAGCAGTAACTATTTGTTGTTCTTATCACAAATCTGACCCCATAATTGTGCGTCCTCTTTCCGGCGAGCGGACTAAAGCCTTATTCCCACGAGAAAGAACAGCTGTCCTGAGAATTCCTAGGAAGTCTCAGTAAACACACAAGCAGACAGACACACAAATACACACAGATGAAGTCATCCTGCAAATGACAGAACAAAATTTGTTATCTGGTGCCACCTGCTGGCTAAATTCAAAATTACAAAAGGGCAGCTGGAATAGAGTTTTTTTTTTTGCCCCCTATTTTGTAAAACAGCCTTTCCTTTATTTCCTTTATTTATTAGATGCCTGAGCAACATCTACATGCACCATCACATTTGTATTAACATGAAATGTAGAATTTCTGAAGAACGAGTGCCAACAATAGACCTCAATTGTTATTAATTATAAGCAAAAATGAAATTATGGCAGCCACTTAATGAGTTATTATATATTTATTCACTTTTTTAGTATTATTTTTAGCATTCTTTTTGGAATAGGAATAGATGTTTGTATTGCACTGTTGCATTAACTTTGAAAGAGCAGTGTGTAAGATTGAGTGTCATCTAGCAGTGAAATCGCATATTGCAACCATTTGAATACAGCTAAGCCTTCCAAGCGTGTAGGAGATACCACAGTGGCCACGAAACTTGCGGAAAACACAAAAGGCCCTATATAGAGCCAGTTTGGTTGGTCTTTTCTGGGCTACTGTAGAAACATGGCGGTTCATCATGGCGGCTTCAGTGAAGGAGGACCTGCTCCGTCTGCAGATAAAAAACCCTTATTCTAAGGCAACAAGGTAACCTTTAAGTTATTCTTTAAAAAAAATATAGTAATAGTGTATTGTTTTACTAATACATATTTATAATCTACTGCATTACAACAAGTTCAGTGTTGCAAATAAATGGCTAATGAGTTGATCACATATTGATTGATGGTAAACCGAAAGAATGAAGATAGATTCTTGAAAAAAATACTGACTTGACTCTGGATGGATAATCCCAGCAGGTTTCTAAACTCTCTGTGACCCCTGTGTCAGTGTTTCCACCTCAACTGGGACACCTCAACCGGGACACCACGACCAGTACAGGAAGGAAGTGAGACAGCGAGCCAAACAGCGAATAAATATGCAAGAGATGGGGATAAAGAGCTGGACAAAAGGCTCGGGAGAGGGGGAAAGAGAGCTTCTAAGGATGAATATAACGGAGGTAAGTCCACCAACACCACCACTGACTTGAGCCAAAAGCACTTACTGACCCTGACGCACGCATACACACAAGCATTTACCCCCACACACACACACGCACACACACACAAACAGTTTATTTCCTCCTTCATTCTGTTTGCTATATCTTTTTTCTGCAGAAAGGAAGTGGGGTGAGCAGCTGCTCCTTTTCTCACACCCGAGTTACCGCCGTGTGTGCATGTCATTAACCCACGTTCCTGTTCAGAAATGATGTGCTGTGAGATATAATCTGCAACAACTCAAGAGAGACACTCAGTGGAACATGTTGAGGTTTTTTAAAGCGGAATCAGAATCACGCTATAATCATGCTCATGTCTCATGTCAAGCTCCATGTGTTGACTTGATGATCACATAATGACTAATCTAAAAATGCTTATTATGCAGATAATAAGTTGCCTTATCTCTGTTTTTACTGTAGGACATTATACAATTTTACTGAAATTAGAAGTTGACTTCTGCACCTGCTGTGTAGTTATTTATCTCAAAATGTCATCTCCCAAAAGTCAAAAGTCCCCAAAACCTATTTCAAATAATATTAAGTTTTAATGTGCTGCAGTGGTGGATGAAGTACTCAAATTTGATTTGATTTTACTTTTATTTATGTAGAAATAACAACACCACTGTGTAGAAATACTCTGTTTCAAGTAAAATACATTACTTCAAACTTTTGTGCAAGTAAACATACAAAAATATGATCATCAAAATATACTTAATGTATTAAAGTATGATTACTCATTATGCATAATGGTCCATTTCAAAATCATCACTTTAATGCTGCACCTGGGATTCATTTGAATTACTTTATATACTTAACCTGCTGGGTAGCTTCTGAATTTCCCTTCAGAGATCAATAAAGAGTTATCTGATCTTATCTTAAAGGACAAGTGTGTAAGATTTAGGGGAATCTACTTGCAGAAGCTGAATATAATATTCATAATTATGTATCCGTAAGTGCACATCTGCTTCATGATAGCCCCTCAAAATGTTCACAGTTTTGTTAGGTTTAGGCACTTAAACTACTTGCTTAGGTTTAGGAAAAGATTATGTTTTGGGTTAAAACAAGTATGTTAATCCAGGAAGTTATCTCTGGGGGGTCTGCAAGGCTGCAGAAGCGTAGGGTTAGGGAAGCTTTTCAGTGGATGGCTACTCACTTGGTTACAATCAGGGTTAGGGTTAGGGTTAGGGTTAGTGCATTAAAGTGCATAACTTCTCCACTAGATGCCACTAAATCCTACACACTGGTCCTTTATCTTACAACAATACATCATAATTTGTTTGTTGATTATAGTTTGAGCACTGTGGTTGCCTCTCGGCTTGTCCAGCGTGTACCACTGCGTTATTAAACTGAATCGGCAAAGCAACTAATCTCATTTATTAAATAAATGTAGTGAGTAAAAAGCAAAATATTTCCGGATAAATTGTAGTGGAGTAGAAGTTTAAAGTAAAAGAAAACGGAAATAAAAGAGTTGACTATATACTTCTTCTTTCCACCACTAAAGAAATAAAGTCATATGAAGCCATAAACTAAATGACATTTAGCTATCACCCAACATAGTTGACTGCTGTCATAGGGAATCATAGAAAATGACTTACAGTAAAGGGGAACACACTGATTGTTCCCATCTCTTAATGGGTCGTTTTTTCCAGTTTCCCCATATAATTAGTGTGTGCCTGTAATTTACAATAAATGTACAGAAGTGTGTGTTGAGTCACTCTGGTGCATGGATGAATACAGCATTTGTAGTCTAGTTCACAGGTTAAGGTACAAATGGTTTGAGGACCACTTCATATTCAGTGTAAGAAGGAACATATCATAATTAATATATAATAGTAATAACTTGATTTGTATAGCACTAATATAGGATATGAGAAACAGTAAAAAGTAAAACCAGATAAATTGGATAAAATGATAAATAAAATAATATCGTCCAGCATTTATAAAATGTTTAAAACAAAGTTTAGTTGCCATAACAGCAATGTGTGAACATTGAGAAAAGAGATCTCTCGAGCTGTTGAACCTGGTACGAAAGCTTTTACACTGTTTGTGCAGTTGCTTTTTTTATTTCTTCTATTCAGTGGTTGGAAAACCTTTGGTTAGTTTGGTTTGTCTTTCTGTCTCACTGACTCCTCTCTTCTTTCATTTTTGAGCAATACTACTGCTTCCCACTACTGCTCTGTTCTCCTGCAGATGCAGAAAGCATTGTAATTAGCTGCAGCCTTTGCAGGGTTTAAATGCAACAGATGAACTAAGACGAGATAAGGTTAAGCAAAGTGACAGCTTTGTTATCAGCTTGTTCTTAAAGTAGTAGTAGATGCATCAGAGCCCCGAGACCTGGGTTCAAGTTCCCCATGTTGACAAGCAATTATACAACCACTTCACTGAGGTGCTCTAGAACAGGAAACTGAATCCTTTCCAGCTCCAAGGATGATGCTTATATGCTAGAAGTGCCTCTATCTTTTCCAACATCCTTCACTGTGTAAGTACATGGCAATTTAAAAACAAAGAAATACCACAAAATATTACAAAAGGCCTTTCCTAAACTTTGCACATTTGCAATGGACGAATGGTCCTCATCAACTCCATCCACCTCTCCCTCTTTCAATTAAATAATGCTTTGTCACCCTCTCCTGAGGCAGAATAAGGGGTCGTATTCACCTCACGAACGTCCTTCTTTATGTTTGAGCTTACCAGGACGCTCCGTACGGATGCTCTTGGACACAGCAAATGGCGGGCTGAAGTTATGAATAGGGGGCTCTGTGGTGCCCCCTAAAAGAACTGTGTCTTTCTATGTGTGTGCTGCTGGGGGTGGTCTGTTGGGGCCGCTTGTTGGCGTGTGCCCGTGTGCATTTGTGGAGAATGTGCATGTGAGGCCCTAAACATGTGCATCCATCTGTGTGTGTTTGTGTGCACAGTTGTGGACATTGTACATTTAGTTGGGGCGGGGGGCGAGGGTGTGATGCAACAAAATATGATGAAAGAAAAAGTAATGTTCTGAATCAGATTCTTTCAGGCCAAATTTCAAGGCTGCACTATGATGTATTTGTGCTCCCTTGAGTTAATCTGATACTGAATTGAGACTGGGGGGAGTGGCGATCAATTATTCCAGCAATTACACAGACGTGAGCTGGACACAACAAGAATTCAGGAGTGAAGAAGAGAGAGAGACTGAGGAAAAGAGGAAAAGTGTGTGTGTAAGAGAGAGAGAGAGATGCCTTTTATAAAGCCTAGTCCTGTCTCTTTGGGAATAATTTGTGAGCAGTGAGACGAGGTTTGGGTCAGGAACACAACCCCGATAAGCCAATGACTGTCTCCATAACTCTCCTCAATGGTCTTTCAGTGTTGTGGGACGCAGGCTGCTGAAGTTACTCTTCCTGCAGAATTACAGTCCCAGTTGTGTCGTGTGAGCATGCGTACGACAACAAAGCAGACATGTGGACGAAAGGCTGAGGCTCCGGGCTCCAAACTCCTCTCTGCACGGATCAATTAGATTGCAATCCCAGCTGAAAAGGTAAGCAAACTAATTTCTCTGCAGAGTGCAATGAAAATATGAATAAAAAAGATCTTTGTATGGCGATAAAATATATTTGTTTTCTGATTTAATAAGTGAATATTCTTAAAAGTAAGTTTCTCAATTGTTCCTACCTGGATAATTAAGTTTCCAGAAAGGAAGTGCATATTGTGATAGATTTAAATCAAAATTTTCTTCATTTATATAATGTTTCATTTATTGTCAACTAATATGTATTTACAAATGTATTTTTATTGCATTATCTCCACAGCTAATTGATATATTTCACTGGTAAACAATGGTAAGCTATAAAAAGCTATTTGATTAGGAATTTCTAAATTGGCCAGAATTGGCCAAATTTTAAATTAATTCATTGCCTATAGACTCACACAACCCACATTATCTTAAATTAAATAAACTATTTACTGTGGAGGGATAATTTTGTTTTGGCTGATGAAAATCTGTAATAAGAAAATTACATGACAGTAAGCAGCATCACAAGCTACCTGAAATTTAGATACGTTTTCTTTATCATGATACCTGTTTATGTGCAGCTGCATTATGGACTGTAGAAAGTTGATCCTCAGACGTTTTTTGATGCAGAGTTTGGTATAAAGTTCCTCATGTGATAACAACAGGACCATCAGAGAGGAATGAAACTGAGTTTATGGAAGACTCAAATGTCTGGTCAGAGTTCACATCCAATCAGATCATCGGATTTCACAGCATCAGATTTGACAAACAGTGTCAGTTTGTTTATCCTGCAGTTGTGAAATACACATGCAGTATGTATTCTGAGATTCCATAAAGCCTTAAAAATTATATATATATATATTAAAAAATGGACTTGATATCAGATCACAACATGAGTCAGCGCGGGTAGTGGTTTATAAACCCGCTGCACTTGCACTCACTACACTATAGTAAAAAAAGTGGACAATCATTAAGTTATTTTATTTCTGAGATGTTCAAGGGGCATGATGGAAATAACTCATTGGGCTTAATTGTGTTTTTATCTCTTCAGCCTCCTAATTAAATCAATAAAGAGGTGACCTAAACGGTTTTAAATTACATTGGTCTCCTTTATTTACAATTCAACATATTTCCTTCACTACATCTCCATCACTACCAGAGTAGAGTTTAATATTGTCAAGTACGTAGACATGTTAGCAGTTTTAGACCTGATAGCAGATATTGAGGAAATCTACAATAATTAAATAAAAATAAAAATGAAATAGTAGAAGGAGATGGAGGATAGAGTTGTTTTCTGTTGGAAAGTTATTCTTTTATTCTTTTCTAATACATCCCACCTTATTTAGGTGCCTTACGCAACTCTGTTGTGTTTAAAGTAAATGAGAGGAAAGAAAGGGAAAGAAAG